TATCAAGACACAATAAAAGAAACAATGACAATGACATGTAAATCCTTTTGTACTGTATATATAAAAACACAGCACACTTGACTAAGAATCTTGAATGCACCTGAAGTAGGCTCCAGCCGAAACATTGTGTCTCTTTTCTTTTCAGTATGGAATAAACCTTTACCTGTTCCTAAGAATTACTTATACGTATAATGTTTTATTTCCACAGATAGATGTATTAGTAAAGCCACTTCTTTGAAGTACCATATATATTAAGACCTACAATTGAGTTTGAAACTGGGCTACGTCATGACCTGAATACCTACAGGATTCTCCAAGTTGCAGTGCACTGCTGGAGTTAAGTAGAAATGTGTCCTCGGGAGTATCTTAATTTTGCATGACAACAGTGTCTTGCAGTACTTGTGACTTGTCAGGAAACTTTGTATTTGTAGTGCTACTTGGAGCATTATACTGGATCTTCATTTAATTCTAATTAGTAATAGGTTACTGGAATGACTCCCTCCAAGAATGTGTGCATGGTCTTTATCCTGAGTATATAAAAAGACCACAGCCTCAATCCAGTCTCCAACCCTTACTGACTGAAACAAACACTATCATTCCATAGCTCTGCACATATTTTAATTCATGGATGCAGTTAAGCAACCACAATACCCAACTATATGTGTAAACAGCCTAAGGGAAAATGGTAAGGTACAGTAACCACCTTTTTCCTGCTGAAAAATGAAGGATTTATAGTTGGAAAGAAGTGAATGCAACTTATTGAAATTACAAAATACCCCAGGTCAAAATGAATCCAGAATATATTTGAAGTGGATTCATGAACTGTAAGTCTATTTATTGTTTTATTTTAAAAAGTGTGGTAAATATATTAGAATGTAAAAAATGTATGGTATTTCTACAATAACTATACACAGTATGTACATTGCTATTTAATTATTTTAATGAGAATGTCTTTTCTTGCATATGAGTAAAAATGAATTGCCTGTTTAATAAAATTTAACTGATTTGTGGTAACTAAAGTAGCAAAAAAAGGTGCATTCATGCATTTATTTTTTTTATTTTAGGCAGTGAAATCACACCATATAAATGCATGGCAAATACAGTTCTTAACACAGAGGTGTCCATTAATATAAACTGACAAACACCTCACTTTAGTAAATAACCATACAATTAATCATTGGTAAAGGTCAATTTACTACCAGACGCTTGACAATGTTTTAATGTCCTCTTCATATATTATGGGTGACAGAAGGCATATACATGAAAAGCACATATCAATTTTCTATGTATTGTACATGGGTAGAAACAACAAAATACCTTATGATTTGACAGTACATTAACAGCTTTTTGGATTATAGCACTTTTTTTAACAGTGCTATAATCCAAATGTTGACTGATGTTGATTATATTTCCTCTGTGGGCTAATAAAAAGACTCCCAAAATATGTGACATCCTTGTAAGATGGTTTGTCACAAACAACATCTGAGACTTCATAACCCATGTGTGTAATATAATTCAAACATTGTAAAAGTTCATCCATCCATTATGAGAAAACTGCTCATCTTTTTGAAGGCTGTAGCAAGCTGCAGAAATGTAGGACTTAAGGGGGCAGTGAAGGCATGCCTCTAACCTCTTTTTGGAAAAGATGTCAGTTCATGGAAGGGTCATGAAAAAAAAAGAAAATAACAAATCTGTTCTAGATAACATGTTTCAGGAAAGTGAAAGTAGCAGGGGGAGAACATGCAAACCACACACAGACAGGATCCTAAGGTCAGAATTGAACTCTTGACCATGTTACTTTGAGGCAGCAGTGCTTGAGAGCATGCCACACTATGCTGTCTCAAATAGTACTAATGAACATAACAATATTAATGTTTCATTTTTTTTAATCTCATAAAAACTAAAATACTATGACAAGTAATATAATGTTTCCTTCCTCCTAAAGAATTATGAGAATTACTGTACTATACTATATAACTAACATTAGTTATATATTAGTTTATACAGTATGTAGGGATTATATAAAAGATTAATACCAATTCAAAATTAAAAAATAACAAAAATCACATCATGGAACATGTTTATTTATTACATTTTTTTTAATTGCCTATTAATGCATGTAGGTAGGTTTATTTTGTTTGTCTATGATTGCTAGCCCTTTAAAGTAGATAAAAATTAAGTAGAGACAATGTGAGATAATTGGTACATTTAAATTTACATTCTGAAATTGTTCCATTTCGAATTTGATACATTCTATGCCTGAATGTATGCTTACACTTACATAAATTAACAATTTGTATTCCTGCTCGGAGAAACAAGAGTACTCACAAAGTGTAATCAAAAGTCATGCTGACTTTACACTGAAGATGTGCTGAGACTGATATTAAGTCATCAGTGAGAGCTTTGAACATGCATAACAAACATCATCACAAAGTGATACAAAGTTTTTGAAACAAAAATGTTGGTATAAAAATAAAAGTTAAATCTGATATATTATTTGGTATTGTGTTTTTTACTTCTACATCCTGCCATGTACCCGTTCTTGCCAGGATATGCTCCATCTCTCTCATGACCCTGTATTGGAAGTGGTTAGATGTTCCCATTTTCATTTCCAAAATAAGGACCAAATAAATTGTGGGCAGGCTGCAATGTACAGTGATACCATTGCCTGTTGACATGCTGTGGCCCCAAGAAATATTCAACCAAAATATGTCAAGAGTTTTAGACAGGATAAGAGGATGCATTCAAAAACATACTGTAGACAGTAGCATTTACAGACCTAAAAATAACATAATGGGATGGAAAAGACAAACAGTTGTTCCTTTTTCCATATGCTTTGGAATATTTGTGCAAGTTAACATAACTAATATGAAACACTAAACTAGTGCTTTCATTTATACTAGAGTCAATTTCATTTCTAAATAAGCACACACTAACGTGAGAACAACTGTTTATCCCCTTGCCTAATGTTTTTTTACATTAGATTTTTACATTATGTTTATATTTAGAATCTACACAATGTGTTCCAAACCTGTAAAACAACAAATGTCCATGACTTTTATTTTAAAGTTTGTCAATCGTATATATTTTCAGCCGCTTTCCACTGGCATGCCTAAATCACATCATTTACAAAGAAAATCAGAAAGTCTCTGACTGATTTTAAGACTTAACCCAACTTCAGCATAAATGTGTTTACATCCCTCATATAGATATTACATTTAGCATCTAGAAAGCATAGTAGTAGGTATATATCAGAAATGGTCACTTGCATCTTTAAGTAAATTGAAGTCTGTTATTTGTAAGTATTTCTGTCCAAAGAAGAGGAAGGGTATGCACATTGTTTTATCTAAAGGCATAATGGCTATCCAGAGAGATGCAGACACCACTTACATTTAGCGGCCCTTTCAAACTATACAACCACAAAAACAGGGAACTTTGAAGCCAAATGTGACTTTGAATGAGAAAGTTGTGTCTGAGATGGGAGCCACTGTACTTACATTGACAATATACCATTCCCTATGCAAAACTGAATGAGAGTCAAAACCTTTTACTAAAAGAGATTCCTTTTAAATATCATATGAGATATTCTGCAGATATACTGCAGACATTTTAATGGCCAAATAAGAAGAAAATGTACCTTTTTGTAAATGCAAAGCGTCACATCTGGTGAAAGCCCAACTCAGCACATTACCCTTTCAGCACAATCTCAAACTGTCACGCATGTTGGTAGCAGCATGAAGCAATGGGGATGCTTTACATCAGTAGACTGTGATTGAGGGTAAAATGGTGCAAAGTACAGACAATTCCTAGAGGAAAACTTGTTTGAATCGCCTAACATTGTAAAGCTGGGTCAAAATTTCACATTTCAGCAGGAAAATGACCTGAGGCACAAGGCAAATACACACTGATGCAGTCTGACAAAAAGAGTGTGAATATTCCTGATTTTCTCAGTAAAAATCCTCACTTGAAACTAATAGACAATATATGACAGGGTTCAAAGACACATATCCACCAACAATTGCCTACAATGTTGTTAATACTGTTGCAATTTTACCAGAAAATCAAATTACAGCATTCCACTGAGTAAAGCTGAGAAAACCCTAATCAAAAAAACTGACGACAGTAATTCCTGTCAAAGATGCTTCTACCAAGTACTGACATAGAGGGTTGTGTGCATTCTCAATCAATAAAATTCATTTTTTTTGGGAGTTTCTTGGACGTTTTAAGCTGACATTGAATCTTCTTCATATAGGTTTTCAGTTTGATCATTACAGTTATGGATAAAATAATGTGCATTTGAAACAAATCAAACATGTTGTAATTCGTCAAAATGTGATACTGTTGACAGGGGTGAATACTTTTTAAAGGTACTGTATCTTCATGTCTGTTGTTCACATAATTAATTCCAATGCATCCATGCAAACCTGAAAATGAAGGATTGACTTTCACTCAGTGACATTATTATTAAGTATAGTACATTACCTGTAATGCAAAAGATATTAAACAGAAGGGATATAAAATTGATTGTAGATCAACATCCCAAATTATTATAAAATCTTACATATTTACCTATATTATGTGTTTTATATCCTGCAGCTTGTAGGGGATGTGTTTTGTGCTACTGTATGTAATAAATTCACACTAATCATTACCCACTGAGGGCCACTGAATGGTAAATATCATAGTCAAATCTTACATCACTAACCATTATTGTGTGATTGCAGAATTATTTGCATACTTTAAGGTAAAGTTTGTTTTAGCAGGGGAAGAGGAAATGCAAGAAATTGTCTGTGCCCAGATATTTTTTCCATAACGTTTAACTATGGAGAAAATACATCTACCTTAAAACATGTCAATACCGATAGGATTCCCATTCACTGCCTTCAATTACAATACTATACATACTGAGCAACACCCCAGCAGTCACTTTCATAATGTTGAACAGTAGGTGATTTTCTGTTTTGTGCTCCCAACATGCAGCAGAAAAAGCCTTGACTTACTCTGCAGATCCATGCTAATGCTATTTTTCATCCACAGGGCTTGCAGTGACAGCTTGGTAATACTGGAAACAATTCTATACCTAAAACATATTAGAATCAAACAAACACAGAATTGGTACTGTATCAAACCATTCATCTGTCACAAGGTCTTGACATTAAATTAAACTGCCAGTGGTTATGATTGAGAAAGTTTACACTTCATTATCATTAGCTCTTCTTTTTTTCAGTTGTTTCCCTTTTTATGAAACAAACTTCTTACATTAAAATTTTAGTTTATCCTGTATATGGAAGGTGATTATAGTTTGAAGTTAGTTGATGTATTCTGACAGCTGCAATGTGAAAACTGGATGTCGAATGCAGAAATGTGGTACTTCTGCAAATGCACAGGGAATACTTTCCCAAGAGTATTTAAAAAGAGTTAAAAAGAGTACTTTTAATAGTAAATTATAATCCACTCATCCATTTTCTAAATGCCCCATCCAATACAGGGTCGCAAGGGAGTCGAAGCCAATGCTGGCACAGGGCAGTATACATCCCAGACTGAATACCAGTCCATCCCAGGGCACACACAAACACAGACACAGACATACTTTTACATACAGAAACAGAATTGACCATCTTTATAGAGCACAAGGTTTAGAACCTTAAGAAGAAAATGAAATACTGCAAGTCAGATCAAGAGGCTGTGAAAAGTAAATTATTTATCATGGTCATATTTTTTTAATGGATTAGGTAATGAAATTAACAAAAAAAACTTTATTTTTGTTTCTCTAAATAAAACAGTATTGGTAGGATGGAGAGTGGAAGTGAAACATGATAGTGTGTAACTTTTATCAATACAAATGAATTAATCAGAACATTAATCAAAACCTTTTATCTTTGTTTATGTAATCTTTTAAAATGCATGCACCAATCAGTTATCTGTTCAAAAGCTTGGTAAATAGGATCCATTGACCTGTGTTGGTTTGTTTGGTACCGTGTAAGTATTTAGGTCAGTAAAATACAGTACGTATAAAGTTATGGACTAAGCTACTTTTGACAGATCAGCTATCTAACTAACTTTAACAGAAGGCTATAACTCTTTCAGAAAATCATGTTTTAGTAAAACTATTGAAAAACAATCTTTCTTAGACCATTTTCCACATCTGAGTTTTTACAGTGTTACTGTATTGAAAATCAGTCTTGTTAGAATATAATTCAATCTGTCCTGTACAAAATTTCATACAGTATATGCAAATGTACTCAGACTTGTTCTTTTAATGGCCAATAACTAGCCCTAAGACTTTGCAGCAATTAATACTTTTCAGGTATCCTTGGGAGTTAGATCAGCACAGGGATTTTGTTGTCAGATACTATGGAGATAAAGTGCACAATTTACCTTTTCTATTTTAAAATATGCAGTTCAGACATGCAAAGCAATTGTGGGAAAATGTAGGCAATCCCCACTCTTGGTGCAAATTATTGCCTGTCTCATTGATTTATTCTGATGTCTGACTTCCAAGCTGTATGCAAAGGAACTATTGTGCTGTCTGTCTCAGTACATCACAGTCAGACAAGTTTTATTAAAGGACACCTTGTAATATTTGACACCTTCTTCGTATTAAACACACAGCGACAGACATTGTTTTTCCCTGCACTCTTCCACTGAATATACATGGCCAATTTCAGATCAGAAATCACTAATATTGTTAAACCTTAATATGATAACCCTTTGGCAATGGTATTAACAGGATTATTTTCTATCTATAGAGGCAGTCATTGGGAATTTCTAATCTTGTTGTTTGCCTTCTCTTTGAAGCCAATACATCAAGCTGTCTTTCAATTTTTTCTTTCTAACCCTATTTATGCCAACAATATTTTACATTACATATTAATTTATGCTGATGATATATTACTGTGTTTTGACATTGCCTCTCTATCCCTGTCTCACCTATAAACTATTTACATTATGATTTATAACATGGCAGAACACTAAAGTCATCAGTTTTCCAGGTCCATTTTACTACCCTTAATTTGTAAGAGTAAAAACCTCAGGCACCATAGTATTAAAATCTATATATCTTTATATTGTAGTGCTCTCGGATTCACATGGATATGCACCCTTGCAGCTGCCGCCTAAGGTCGGCCCCCCACCACTGGGGACTCGAACCCAGGCCTCCGGCGTCACTCAACAGGGACCAGGCCAGTTGAGCTAAAAGGAAATCTCCTCTCAGCCTGACGGCTGCGGTCCCTGCTATTCACAGGGAAGGGCGGTGACATCACCTCGCTGGTTGGCCGGCTCGAACAACCTGCAATGTCCGCCGCATGCGTTACAATATGTTATCACAGTCACAGTAAATAATTTTTAAATCTACTTTAGAGATCCTTATATTAACTTATTTGATAGAAATATTTTCTATGACACATTATGATTACTTAGAGGATTATACCCCAATATATTTATTTTAAATTAAAATATTAATATTAATATATTTATTAATTTATTTAATTTATTTTAAATATATTGGAACTATATAAAGATAAACTATACTGTAAAGCTATTGTACATATACTGTACATATCACTATCCATGTTAAATATGGTCAAATATTGATACATGTGTAATTTAAGTTGACAAAATACAGTTTTTAAACGCTACATTATAATAGTGCATATAATCACTGCTTTCCTTAATTTTGTCTTTTGTAACTGTTAAAAACTGTAAAAATACAAAGTACTGGAAATATATTTTCACAAATTGCAAAAACTGAACATTAAAAAAGGGGGTTTTTAACTGACACTGGATGGCACTGTCTCCCTAAATTATTCAGAGAGATCTTGTTCTAATTCCAGAGACCATAACATTTGTTCCTTACTAAATATTAATAATTATGTGTTTACATTAATTCCTAAATTAATTATTTAATTCATTTTAAACAAGCATTTCAAGTCTAAAATAATTCATTATGTTCTGACTTAAGTTAGAAATTAAAGTATTTTTTTAATATTGCTTCAGAAACTAAAATGTATCCTTTCTGTTATAAAGGAGACAATTATTCCTTTGTGTTATTCTATATGCAAATTTGCTTTTTTATTTAAAGTGACAAATTCTTTAAGCAGCAACATTAACTTACAATAAATGGCAAACTACTTAAGCAGATTATTAGCCTACTACAATGATTCAGCATGCTGGTGCGTATCTGATATTACATAAGTGGATAAGTCCAAAAAACAGAAAGAAATCGAAATTAGAATATTAATTTAGTACAGTCAATTATTGTGTGATTTTTTAAACTTTTTCTTGACAAGATAAAACAAATCTAAAGAAGAGTGCCAAAAAATGTAAATTATATAGAGCAAGAGATCAGAGCAAATTAGGACTGCAGGACTAAATTCATTGCATTGCAATCACTAACAGGCAAGAAAATATCATGGCTTGCTATCATATGCAGAAAACCTAAATGCACTATATTATTAAATTTAAGAACTCATTAGGGCATGTAAAATGGGGTGGGATTCAATGAAAGGAAAATATTTTAATGTGCATACAATAACAGATATCAAAGAAATACTTTACAAGTTTTTTTTTTTCAAATTGCACAATTTTAATCGTCAGAAAAAAAAATACCGTACATTCATTAGCACTGATATAATTACAATTTCAAGTGTGACATTTAATTCACCTTCAGTTAGCATATCATTCATCATGTTCTATTTTTTGCCACAAGAACTCTGAAGTGGGTCCAGTGTCTTTCCCCATGATGTGAAGTCCCTAATGAGGACTAGGTTCAATTCACAGATTATACTTTCATGGGAAAATTATTCAGGATGTAGTAATTATAATACTCAATTTAAAAAATTGCACTTAAAGTGGGTGTGCAGTACAGTATCCTTTGACCTTTATTACATGGTATTTTTGGAAACATTTTTTGTAGATATGGAAGAGTTAAAACATCCATTAAAAACAATCTCTAGTCTTTCATTCAACTCCATTCAAATTAATTGTTTACCTTTTAATCACTTCCTTCCTTCGGTTTCACCCATAATATTCTCCACTGTTAGAGACAGTGTTTACAGGAGGTTTGTTTTACAAGTTTAACAGGATAAAATAACACTGTCCTTAAAAGGCATAAAACGTCTTTAAAGCCTCAAAGAGGTCAATCAATAGATACTTATTTGGGAAAACCAATAAGAAATATAAGAAAGTGTTTAGGATTCCATGTCAGTTAATAAGATTTTGTTTCAAGAGAGAAAAAAAACAGTTGTTTTAAATCATTTCTCTCAATGATGGTGTTATTCTTGTTAATAACAAAATTTCACCAAATAATTAAATGTGAGCTTAAATGAGATGTTAAACTGTGACCAAAATGACCACAGGTAAAGATAAAGGAAGTGTGGCTCCATAAGCAGCAAGGTCATTGAAGATTACCATCAAATGGCAATCAACAGTAAGACAAGCTTAAAACATTTCCGAGAAATCTCTGTGATGACACTGTTGATTTAGCTGATAGGAAAAGTACACTAGGGATATAACGCAGGAATATGAAGATGTTGTTTTGGGTTGGTGGAGCCCTGAGTAAGTAACCATGTTACTATAAGTGGCATATACTACTATTTTTGCAAAATAGGTATTTGTCCAATGGGTAAAGATTGTTTTTTCTCTTTTTTACTTTGTTTGTGTGACTTGACTCCCTTTATGGCAATATTTATTTGCTAGTACTGAGAGAGATCATCATCTGGGGTCTTGTTAACCCAAGACCTTAGTAATTAAACCATTCCAGGTATATCAGGGTATACTATCCCTCATAGGTATTACGGTATGTATGTGTAAGTTACACTGTGGTCAATGGATGTCAAGGATTGTAAAAGTATTGCTTCAATATTTAGATTTTTTTCCTTTGCACTCATTCTACAAAAACATTTCTCCACATTATGCTGGGAAGAGATTATGTTTTATTCTAAAATGTGTGAGAAATTCTATTATTTTTCTCTTCTACAAATTTACATCTGAGAAAGTTTAAACTTGGCACATATACTGGAGCAGTTAAGCAATTTCATTTGTGACAAGATCCAGGGTTTTGTGTCCACCAATATAACGTTC